ATACTAGCGGGATCGATGATGTTCTCAAGAGGCGTGTATGGTAATGATGATTCAATTTCGTTACCAAGTTGTGAAATCAACGCTGAAGCTTGAGCTATCATGACCGATATATTGGGAGCAGGAATCCCTCGTAGGCGGTTTGATCTTCGGACGTTTTCTCTAGGTTGGTCTTGCGCATTCCGTTCTTGACAAATTGTTTCAGCTAGTGCAGGATTGTGGATTCGTACTCTAAAAGGATTGATTGGAGGATCTTGTTCTTCTGGAAGATCATTGTTCTCGTTTTGATCTTCACGAATATCAGGGTCAATTGGTTCATTTTGAATATCTTGATTGTGATCATCTGGTGGGATGTCATCGGGGTCATCTGGTAACACGTCTTCAAGATCATCGATTTCATTCTCAACTTGAATTTCCGTGATGTGATTCGGTTTTGAATGGATTGAGGGGAATTCTTCTTCATTAAAGATGACATCATGCGAGTGAACTATTTTCTTATCCTCAATGCGAATGAGTCGGTAATTCTTTGTGCCTTCTACAAAACCTAGTAGGATACACTTCTCAGCTCTAGAGTTAAACTTTCCGTTTCGATTTGCTGATGGAATATGTTTGTAAGCAGCACACCCAAAAATTCTTATATGATTTAGATTTGGAGGTCTCTGATAGATAACTTCATACGGAGTTTTGAAAGAGACAGTAGATGAGGGTGTTCGGTTCTCTAGGTATGTTGCTGTTAGTACAGCTTCTCCCCAGAAAGATATTGGGAGAGATGATCCAGCTATCATCGTTCGGGCCTTTTCAACAGTCGTACGGTTACCACGTTCCGATATTGGATTCTGTTGAGGCGTATGCGGAGCTGTGACTTGGTGATTGATTCCAGATGAGTTACATAATTCACTCATTTCATGGTTAACATACTCACCACCTCCATCACTGACTAATGTTTTGATTTTTTGACTAAATTGGTTTTCAACTAGTGTCTTAAAATCTTTAAAAACTTTTATGAAATCATTCTTGTTCTTTAGTAGGTATAACCAGCGATAAGATGAAAATCCATCAGTGAATTTTACATAGTAGTGAGCTCCTCCTACAGATGGTGGAGATATTTTTCCACTTAAATCAGAATGAATAACATCGAGAGGAGAAGATGGTTTTGGAATTTTTCCTGGAAATCTGTTTCTTGTTGATTTCCCCAATGCACACGATTCACAGAAAGGGATTGAGCTGATTTTTGAATCAATGCCAGTTGTGCATTGGGCTGCAGTTTTGAGATTTTTCTCACATGGATGGCCTAGGCGTTTATGCCAAATGGCTGAGGTATGCAGAGCGTTGTTCGATTGAGCAGGTTTTTGAATTTCAATGTTAAGAATGAGAAGTTTGTTGATTACGTTTCCATCTAAAACAATAGTGTCATTCTTCTTGAGCACGAACAGATTGCTACTACAGTATACAAGTTGGACGCCTTTCTTCCAGAATGGTGTAAGAGATAAGAGATTATGAGGAAGGGATGGTACATGAAAAGCATTGACTATATCATAGAGTCCATACTTTGATTTGATAGTAACGGTTCCTCTTCCAATAGCTTTAATCACTCTTCCTTCTTCTCCAATACTGATTTCAACATTACATGGAGTGTAAGTTTTGAATGCGTCTCTTGATTTAAACATTGGATCAGAAGCACCTGAGTCGAGTAGATTGGTTTCAGCGCTAGTTGAGCAGATAAAAGCCGTACATCGAGAGAATCGGACTGACCCAGGAATGGTTTCGTCCATACCAGCGTAGTTTGCTGCAGTTGGTACCTCCGGTTCTTCAGCTGGCTTCTGAGATCGATAACGGTTTCGGTTAGGAGCTAGATGACGGTGTTTCTTCCAACATTGGTTTTCTTCATGACCGGTTTTCTTGCAATGAGTGCAGGTGACATCTTTACGAGATTGCTTGGTGTTGACATGATTTGCTGACGCACGATTCGCTTCGATACCGCTAGTCGCGCTTTGAAGTTGGTCTTGTTCAAGTCGATGTAACATGAAATCGAGATTCTGGTCTGGAAAACCGTGAGTCATAACTCTGACAAAAGATTTGTACTCTTGCGGAAGTTTTGATAAAGCCATGATGACTTTCATCTCTTCACCCATCTTGAAACCGGATCTTCTCAGCTCATTAGCACATGATCGAACTTCTTTGACAAAGGTATCAACATCCGTGAATACAATGTTTGCAAATTTAGTGAAAAGAGTTGTTCGATTAAGCATGTTTTCGCCAATATACTTCTCGCGAAGAAGAGTCCATAGCATGAAGGCATTTCTTGCTTTTCCGACTTCCTCGTTACTGCTGACAAAAGCTAGGTTGTCTTCGTTTAGGTAATCGACAATGACGTTGTACGCTCTTTCACTCTTGATACGGTGAGATTCCTTCATCAAGTCGGTAGGCTCAACTCCCGGAGTCCTAGTGATAGGTTCCGTTCCGAGTGCTATCTCAAGGAGTCCTAACCGATCCAATTTGCATTCGATCATCGTAACCCACGTTAAATAGTTCTTCGTGGTTAGGAGCATACGAGATGATGATGATGAGGTTCCGGCATCGAAATCGAGCGACATATCGTTTTAGCCTTTTAAAGGTAAAGTGGTACTGATAATGTGTTAAACTTTATAGTAGCTCAAAGTTAGAGCACGCTCAAGAACAGTTGTGAGAGTGTTAAGAGAAAACACTCGAACCTTTATAGTAGCTCAAAGTTAGAGCACGCTCAAGAACAGTTGTGAGAGTGTTAAGAGAAAACACTCGAACCTATTCAAGACGGACAAAAGGAACTGGACGTGAGGAAATGACTTTTGGACAATGATAATGAAAAGTTCAGATGGTATTTCTTTCTGCACACCTTTATAGTAGCTCAAAGTTAGAGCACGCTCAAGAACAGTTGTGAGAGTGTTAAGAGAAAACACTCGAACCTGAGAACAAAGTAAAGGAATTAATAAGAGAAAGGAATAGTAAAAAGTATGCTAGTATCTAACCTATTCAAGACGGACAAAAGGAACTGGACGTGAGGAAATGACTTTTGGACAATGATAATGAAAAGTTCAGATGGGAAAAAGAGGAACAACAGTTGCACACAGAAAAGAACTACTAATAGGTGAAAAACTTCTTTTCTCCATTTCCCAATCCGTCAACTCCTTTCCACATCATCCACGTTTCATCCCAATGGTTACATTGTCCCAATCCGTCAATAAAATGATCAAGTTGTGGTTGTCTAATAAGTTACCTAACCGGTGATGGTGAAGTAGCTTAGGTTCAAGATTGGACTGTTCCAAAGTGCCCATCTTCCGTGCTAAGATGAGATTTGGACCAGATTACACAGATGATAGATATGGGATTGGACTATAGAGATCTGTGAAAGCAGAATTCCATTAAAGCAGATATCTGTGAAAGATGTGGTATACGAATAAACGGCAAGGGTTATATGCGTGATCTCTTGGGCCATTTATCTTTCCTGCAATTACCCCACATCCATATTTTATCACTATTGAGCTTTTAGTGGTGAGTGATTTACTTGTTTTTGGGTCTGTATGTCAATTCATTGCAAAGGCGGCCACTCAATCACATCGTATGTATATATGTAGTAGCTAGTGAACAATTTCTTTGCAAGTAGAATCTATAGTCAGTTACAACTCCCATTATTCGATGCGATAGGCGTGGCTAATCCAGGATTTTTTCATTCGGCCAAAATTATAAATATCTTTACCTAGAAACAGTATAGGGTTGGCTTGCATGTAGTCGAGTTTGTGTTGATGAGGAGAGGTAGAGGGGAGAGTCGTAGCAATCGGGTTTGGTATGACCAGTCCCAGGCCGAGATGTCCAAGGGCGAGACATCTCAATAATCGGGCATGGCATTAGATAGGTAAGGGAGTGACATCCACAAGGATAGTTTACCTTTCCTGTTGATCGCAAAGTCAAAATCCACTCTGGATAGTAACGAAGCGCAAAACCTGCGCCTGGTCCTTATTGGAGAACACAAGCAAAGTTGGAGAAACTGCAAGTATGTATTGAGATAAACTTATCTCATGACAAACCCTCCCCTGGTACTCGTCGCACACATCTCTGACGGTTTCCACAAAAGTTTGGGATCCGAAAAGTTTCAATATTCAAAGCCTCACAGAGATTGTCAGCATCGCTTGGGTAAGCATCTTTTGGAGTCCGTGTTTTCACCGTCAGCCACATTCAGATCCGAGAGTATGGCTCAAGTCATCCTTTCCCTTCACACGTACTGCTTTCTTCGGCGTTCACTCGTGCCTGTCCACTAACTCATGATGTATGAAATTTCTTTTTGGCACGGGTTGCTACATAGCCGGCTGATCCGCGGTAACAATATGGCAGACCCGCAATCAACTGTTGGTTCACCTGCAGACGCAGAATCGACGGGCTCACTTGGGTTCATCAAGGATGATCAGTATGGGATCGCCGACTGCCCAGAGCAGAGTCCAGTGTGTACCAATTTCGATTCTTGCTATTGGTGCCATCACATGTGATTAATGCTATCTACATCCTAGCTGGATGCTTTAGCCGAGAAACAGGCAGTTTGGAAACTTGATCTAGCGTTAGTCAACGTTTCTGGACCGCGAGTGGCCGCAAATCATATTGATATTGAATGCGAGCTTTTGCAACAGGGTGATACCAATCGTATCGTTGTTTTACTTCCTCAGCTTCCTTGACCGTTCAAATCTTGGTTTGTAACAATGGGGTTTCCCATGATAATGTTTGGCTCTTAACTGATGATGGCGTCACGACTTGAACTTGCAGGAAATGCTCGGGTTGCAGGTAAATTGAAATCAATAAAAGTTGGTTGGTTACTCGAATTGAAAGGCTGTCTTTTTCGAATCAGGACTTCAAGAAAGTCTTGGGATTTCGGACTATCAGTACTCTGTGGCATTAACAGTAACATATATGTAAGCAATTGACTTGGCCATGGGGCACCATAGTTTTATAGCGTTCCGCCAACTCATCGGCAGCTGATTTGATGTGCATTCCCTCTGAACCATTAGTCCGTATATCGTAAGCTTTATATGATGCCTCCACTGATGTGATTAGCGGATCACTTTTGCTGACCAGCATTGCTGCTTAGATGGCTGAACTACCAGCGAATCTGTACCTCAAAAAGATTGGCCCCCACATCTTCCTACCAACGATTGTAACGATTTGGGGTATTGTTACCACGTTTCAAGGGTTTATCACCTCTTATAGCGGTCTGATCGCGACTCGGTCAGTCCTACATCCGACCTAGAATATTCAGCAAGCGTTTCTCAACCGATATTGATCCCATGAACCCATGGTTCACAGATTTTTTCTTGGTTTAGTCGAAGGTGAGCTATCCTGTTCACATGGTCCTATCCTCAAGTTAACCAACATTCTTCTCTACCTGTAACAGGTGGACTATTTCCGGTGAGCTGTGAATGATTCACTTTGCCCCAAACTCAATACAGAAATTGACCAAATACCTCACAACAGGGGATAGTCTTGTATCTTTCAACCTTCTATACTCGGTAGGGGAATTTTATCTTTATAAGTTGCTATGGTCTCCTCAGTCTTGTGTGTTTTCCTTGATCGCAGTCGTGAATTGCAACTGCGTATTGCTTTATTCTTCTCTGCAGCCTCATTATCCGGCGCTTTCTCAGGGTTATTGGCATATGGCTTGATTTGTTTGGATGGTGTGGGCGGCAGACCGGGGTGGGCTTGGATCTTCATTGTGAGTATCTCCTTTCAATTCATCGTTTACGCAGTTTATCATCTCAGTTTCTCTAATGTCAGTCTATTTCCTTTGTGATCAATCTTCAAGGTCGAGGGTCTCTTCACCCTTGTGTGTGGGATTTGTGGCTATTTCATCATCCCGGCTACACCAACTGCAACCCGCTTCTTGAGCGCGAGACAAAAAGGGTCAGTTTTATTTTCTTGAATCTCGAGCAAGTCATTGGGTGTAAAAGTTTGATAGTAGCCAAGGAAATCCTTCTTCAATTCAGGATCATATCAAGACGTTTAGCGAGAGATACACCTATGGGAGCTATAGATGAACAGTTTTCCTGGTGCGATGTGTGGGCATCACTTAAGAGCCCGCACGTTTTATTCAATTCTGTGACGTTGTTCGGATCTGGAACTGCTCTTTACAGTCTTGCGTATTTCCAACCAACCAGTTACGTACAGCAGAAAGCGGCTGAAGATCACATGCCATTGGCCAATGATTGCTAACATGCTTTGCTTTGTCTTATTGAACCAGTTGTCAACAGTGTAAGTTGTCTTCTTCGCTAGTGACCCTTATGCCATACTAAAACTCTGTCTTTGATGTGCAGCTAGGATACGATTCAAACCGTGCACAGCTCATGAGTGTACCTCCATTTGCCGTGGCCTTTGTTGGTATGCGAACATTGCCCACTGTCTAGACCACTCTCCATTACTTATCCTATAGATTTTACCGTCAGTCATGATGTCGACTGCCTATGTTTCAGATCTCTTTGAGGCCAGAGGGGCCACGACGTGTGGAGCTGCAATTCTTGGAGTAAGCAAAAGCTTGACCTCCAATTTTTCAATTCCATTCGTGAGATGATTGCACTCAATTACTGATTGATATTTGACGATTCCCAACGTACATCATCAGTTGATTGGATTCATCATATTTCTTGCCTCAGACCCGTCCCAAACCAAGCTCAAGTACGGCTCACTATTTTTATCTGTACCTGGAATTTACTCTATACCACCCTCTTTGGCTGCCTGGCTATCGAATAATAGCTTCGGTCATTATCGGAAGGCTGTCTCAATTGCAATCGGATTTATTTGCACAAATATTGGAGGTATTTTGAGTACCTGGGTAAAGATATCTCATCTGTTCTCCTAGATCCCAAGCTTGTCTATCTAACGTCGCCTATCATCTTGCTAGCTATTCCCGAATTCAGACAGTCCTCAATATCGGAAAGCTACTATCATAAACATCTCATTGTGAGTGCATTTGATCTATTGGATGATATTAATCTTTTCGTCGATCCCTGTCTTCAAACAATTGTGGTCACTGAGACAAAAAAATCTGTCTTACATTCCTTCCTTCATTTTCCTATTCGCGGTTCATGAAATTAGCTCTAGTATCATTGTGGTTTTTACACTTCTGAACATGTGTTGGCTTCGTTATGCCAACGTTCAAAAAAGAACTAAGCGAGATCAATTGCTCGATGGCTATCAACTCGACACAAGCGACGCTTCAGCCAACTCTGAAGAAAGTATTCGCGCATGGAAAGAACTTGGAGACCAACATCCCGACTTCATTTACGCGTATTAAAAATTGATTCTCACATAATTACCTCGCTATAACGACATCATATCTTGTCTTATGTTCCTTCAATCAATCCCACAATCCATCTCTGAGGTAGATATCAGATCACATGATGTATCGATCTCATCAGTTGGCCATGTCCTTTGCACGTCACATTCTTTTCCATGTTAGGTACTCTTTCATATTTTTTAATCCATACGCATCTTGTGATGAAATAGAAAATATTGTTCAGAGCTAGTAAATCAACGGAGCATGTGAATTACGTTATGGCTAAGTTGCTCTAACAAAATTATCCGATGTCTTGAATGTAGTGATCTATCAATATCAACTCAATGTATACTTGGTGGCACTCGAATCTACATTAGCAAAAAGCTGAATAGAGCTATAGTATTTCCTTTCTGTTGGCATGTCACACTATGCGACAGATTTTTCATTGCCTCCAGCGTTCAAATAAACCAAGCTGGTATAGCAAGCTGGGATCAGAGTTTTACATTCTCATATGCTTACCTGTTGGAACTTCTCCATGCAAATTTATGGTCTGGTTACCTTTAAGATCACCAAATAGCGTAAGGTTTTAGGTTTTGATGCTTACCGCTCGTGAGTACTTATTGAAAGCAATATCACCAACAACAGATCCAAAAACCGTTTTGCATCTTGAAATTCCAAGACACTTCTTGATGTGACCCGCTGAAAATGATCCCACAGCAAAATTTAACCATATACACCACGGGGTAATCTGGCCCAGCGATTGGCGGTCAAAAATGACCGCCGACAGACCAAATTGCTTGGTGGTGGCTGACCATCATGTCGCTATAGCATAGCCAGGCGAGCGAGCGACCAGCAGCGATGACCATCCGTCAGATGGCCCTACAGCGGCCGCCCGATCATCCATCGGCGAGCTTCATGCCAGCGGATGGTCGGCTGGTCTTTTGATCGGTCGGTCGACCAGCGAATTGGTGGTCATGTCAAGGCCTGTAGACGGTCTTGAAAGACCGTCAATTCAGGTTGTACTGGCTCTCATTGCTCGCTGCTCGGCTCAGTTGGGCTTTTATCAGGTGAATTGATTTGTAATATAAATGTGTATTTCATGTTTATTCATGGTACAAAGGATTACATTTCTAGATAATAGATTGAAGGTAAAATGTGTAATTTACAACTCGTTGCGAAAATGATTATAAGGAAAAACGATGTTGCGTAGATAGTGAGTTGATGTGGAACAACGGTCATTCAGACTGAGTGTTCGGGTAGGTTGAGTACAATCGCCTCGATTTTGGTGTCTGTTGGCATGTTGAATTTGGTGAGTTCTTGTGTTTTGATTGCTGCGAGGGTCCTTGTCCCATCAAATAGGCGTTTATCTTCGTCAACAATGAACTTGTAAAAGCTGTACAAATTCAAAAGGTCAGCATCGATGAAAAGATAAGCATGATCACAATAACAAGGAGCTCACGCTTCGGTGTATCGTGGTCCTTTTAATCGTAAATGAGCCAATTGTTTATCGATGGTCTTCCAGATAGTATAGCCACCTTTCCCATCGGTCAAGCCCTGTACGAAAACAGCCTCCATTCGCTAGAGGGAAGGAAAAAGTATATAATCAGAGCGAGCTCAAACTATTGAAATCAAAGTTAAGGAGAAGTTACATACCAGATACGCATATCGGGATTTCTTGACGAGGTTGCTTTGGTCAGCGACTGTCACTTCTTCGTCAGTGGCAGTGCGTTTTGCAAGACCGGGGAAGTCAGCCATCTATGAGAAGTTGGATGGACCAGGTTTAGCTTCCTAGCTGTGATGAGAGCTTAAAAGGAGACTTACTGCTATGAATATTGAATCGAGGTCTGGAATTGGGTTTGAAAGCGACCCATGTTTTGAGTGAGCATTTTGGAGGAGCTAAAGCGATGGTATGTTGATCAGTCAGAATCTACACATAAAGAAATAGACACTTACAATATTATGAAGGCTTTCACGGACAACCTTGGCCTTGGCGCTTATGACCTTGATGACAGACTGGGGGAATCGAGTTAGACATTCATTTGGTAGGTTTTCGCGCTTCCAAGCATTATCTTGAGCTGTGATTTGATGCTGATTGAAATTACAATTGAAGACAAGAACAAGGATGAGAGTAAGATGTTCTGATAACGGTGGATAAATCAGAAAACTCAGAGTAGAACTCACTTGTAGTATCATCACAAGAGAGCGCGGCAGGGTCTTTTTGTTACCTTGCATGTTAATGATCCCTTTGGTGTCCGTGTAGGCCTGTAGGTCTGGATCACCAATAGATTCCAGGAGCACTCGAGAGCAAAATTTCTAAGGCAACAAAGTCAGTTCATGAATACCAGAAGGAAAAGAAAAGACAACCTTGAGTGAGTCCGGGGGTGTCCAATGTGGAGTAGGAGCAGAAATAGTTGAAGTGGTGGTGCTTGATGACTGAGTTACAGGACTGATAGTATTGGATGGTGAGAGTTGATTGAGTCGCTGGATGGTTTCTTGTTGATTTCGAATGGTCTCTTGATGACATTGTGCTGTGTAGATGACAAGACCAATCAAGCGAGGATCATCATTCATTCGCTGATAAAGTATATTTGATTTGATTGTAAATTTGATTGATTGGTCTTTTCATACAGAGAGAGATAGAGACAACTTACATTACTGACAATACGAGCTTTCTCTTGGTTTTCAATCTCCAGGTCAGCTTGCGCGGCGAGAGTATCAAAGATTGGAAGGGGTGTTGATTGGATTGGGTTAGGCAACATATCATTTGATGCGAAACTGGAGACAGATGACAAATTGTTGGGGTGAGTATTTGGCTGGTAGGAAGTGTTTGACTGTCTATGTTGAGGAATTCCGTGATCCATGGATGACATTGATTGGCGATGTTGTTGATCGGATTCAGTGAAACCACCTAACAAATTGAACTGTGGTTCAAAAGACAAGCTATCAGGTCAAGATGAAGCAAAGACTTATGATTGGGATTGGGATATCGGTGGGGTAAACCTCCTCCTTGATCAATGGATCCTGAAAAACTTGATTGACTGATTTGACTATTACGATACCCGGCTAGGTTAGAATCATTGGAGTTCAAACCTTTCAAAAAAAGCAAAGTAAGATGAGAACAGCGACGAGAAAAGTCATTGAAAACCATACCAAAGGAAGAGGTATCGGGTTGACCATTGTTTCCATGAGGCTGATATGGGGCAGAACCACTGTGTGACATGGGATAAATTGATCTTGAAGGTTGAGACAGACAATGTAAGGTTGTTTGAAGGAGCTGATGTTGAGATTCGAGGATGATGAGGATTGATGTCAGCAATCGAGGTTGAGGAAGTGTGGAGGTGAACAAGGACCAAGGAGTCAGATGGACTTTACCAATTTTGCGGACAAAGTGTGTATGTCACTTGTAAAACATAAGTGTAACAAGTGACATGTTATCTATTTGCTCCTTTGCTGGAATCTCGAATACTTTGAGATGTGGACAAGTCAAAAAATCTTTGATAATATATTTTGGCAAATGGTGAAAGTGAACAATAAGTGAGATAGTATTAAAATTAGCAAAACATTTTTAAAATTAACAAATGATTGATGTTAGCTCATCAAAATTCATCAAGATATCACTTTTTCTTTTTTTTTGCTATCTCTGCATGCCAAGTCTGCAGTCCAATATCAATGGCTTGACCCCAATCCTCTGGTGTAACTTCCACCTGATTCACATCAGCCAATCGCCGATGAAGTTCCGCTGAGTAAAAAGATGCAGAGTTCAAGATATATGATTCATTCTGAGTATGAACAATGTGATGTAGTGGGATGGTGGTATCTTGACGTTCAACTTGTTTGAATCTTGTGGAACCAACTATACACTTTCCGTCATGACAGTTATGTTGAACATTCAGAACCGTTTTGAGAGCCTTATCAAAAAAAAACAGTTGAGAAAGGATTCACAAACACAGTCCAATTCAGATGAAATGACATACATTTGGCTTGAAGAATATCAGATCATCAGTTTTCACAATCTCACGCATTGAGTAAAATGGATGGATTATCCCTCGAGTGCATTTCTTCATCTCAATAACACACTCAGATAATCCTTTTCCTACAGGCTTCCACATACTCTCGACACAGGTAATCATATTGTCAGATGTTGCATTGACTGGCTTGACCTGATACATAAAATGATTCAGCACAAGATTTAAGATGAGAAAAGAAATCCACAAACCCATAGGAATGTGTAATCCTCAACCTTTTGATCATTAGGTAAGATCAGACGAGTCACACGCTCCCACTTGTCATTGGGATAAGTGGTAGCCATGAATCCGGGAAGACCATCAGGAGGAATTTCAGGAGTTTTGTTTCGAGTGACTGATTGAAGTTCAAATGAAATATGTGAGAATCTTCATCTAGCTCTATTACATTTCAAATGAGATTAAATACCTTTCACACGCAGGCCTTTGTTTGTGTTCCAATTGCTTTTCACTCCAAGAGAGCGCTGAAGGTGTTTGTTTGATGAGAATAACTTCAGAACTTCACTTCCAGCCGAGACCCGTTGACCAAGCTTCTGATCATACCATGTCCCACCCATAAAGATGTGAGCAATCATGTGGTAGCTGTTGAAAGAATTTGCAATATCGCGTCCGGGTGCTTGATGGTTTGAGTGGATCGAAGCTTCTCGTAACACAAAATTAAAGCTCTCAAAGATTTCAGTAGCAACAAGAGGCAATGGTCCAAACCACTCGATAGGATCAGATAAATGAGTGAGCATATGGAATTTCGGTTTATTCGTCCAGCGCGCGTTGGATCCCACTAGACAGACAAGAAAGGTGTCAACTGCTTTTTGAAGTTGGATGAGATAATTATCCATATTTGAAATCTCGTTTTGAAAGATAAATGATGCTAAAAAAATAAGCGCGCTCCAAAATTTTCGTTTTTCAGCCCCAATTTCCTCAAATAAAACAAACGGAATGGTCTGCATGACAATACAATATTCTTTTCCTACAAGACTCTTGTAATACTTGATCATCGTGTTTGGAATTATTGGTGGAATATTTAATCCTTTGGTATCGAAAGATACCCATCGACCGGATATAGCCTTATGTTGATCGGCTTTGAGTGGTGAAAGGTCAGTCATCAATTCTTGCCATGGATACTTTGCTACTCCTAAAAGATAGACATGCAGTGCCTCAATCGGTGTATCGTGGTGTCCGTCAAATCCTACAATCAATGATGTTAACTGTAGCATTAATAACAATCAAAATTGACTGTAGACTTACCTGGTAGTCGAAGGAAAGGATTAAACACACGCAGGCCTAGTCTTGAGTTGAGATCTTGCCACAACTCATGAGCATCTTCAAGATCATTTGATACCAAGACTTGTACGACCTTATCCATCAACTTCTCATTCACTGTATCGCGAACACCATGTAGACGTCGGGCTTTCGTTATTTCATCTTTTGTATGTATGCTGCTACCCATGTTCCAAATGTCCCTAGTCAACTCTTGAGTCTTGTTCCAGTCACGAAATTCAAGAGAATGCTACAAAGTTTGGACAAAGACAGTCAGCTGGTTGTGTCTTTTTTTGTTAAGTCCTAATCAGTAAAGATATTTACGTACATGTTTGAAATTTTCATCAAGACCTACAAATTCTTGAACGTACGTTGTTGTTGTTTTTTCGGCTTTGCTATTTACTCGAAGATTACATATCCGACACGGGGTAAGAGTGACTCCTGGATTGATACAATTACATATCTCTGCATGCATTGGAGAATCTCCAAGATAGCATAGTACTACAACCATGACTAGAACTTCTTGGTCCACTTCACAATCATAAGCTGAAAATCCTTCGGTTGCCAGAGTACTAAGAAGACGGGGTGGGAGAAGTCAAAATTCACACTTGAGATGAAATTAATAAGCAACAGGCAGGACCCACGTGAGCTCATCAACTATTGGTTCTCCAAGCTCCAGTGCACTCGCCACATTTGATGTAGCAACATAATGAATATTATAATCTTGATTTGATAATTTCGGAGGTAAACCACTCAGAGTATAATAGAAGGACATATGAGAGTTATACTTTTTTGATCTATTTCCCGATGTATCATCCGAGTACAAGGTGATTGGAATGTGGCGAACTAATCTTCCATTCGCCTTCTTTCTCCATGGGTTTTCAATTGGGATCGGGACCAATCTATCCAAGGCTGATTCTAGAAAGATTTCAAAAAGAATCATCAGTTACGTCTTATTCAACCAAAAGCTTATAAAGACTCACGATACATTGATGATCCGCAGACAGCCTTAAGTTCAGTCCCATTTGGTAGCCTTATCTCAGCAATTGAACGCCAGAAATCATTTACATTGATGGTAACAAGAGTTTCAGAGTCGAAGTTTGGTTCAGCGTAAATACAGATGTCAAGACCACCGGTATTTGCATTAGTGTAAGAGGTTGCACGTAAACATTTTGAAAAGGTATTGTTGCCGTCGTGGTAAAAGAAAACCGGAACAAAGAGCTCAAAGCTACTGGATGAATAGAGTTGAAGCGGTTCATAGATATAAAAATGACCATTTTGAGTTTCAATCATGGGTGTTCGATATTCTCTTTTGATCCCCTCTCGCCACTTTTTGGATTGTGAGAGTCTACTGATGGGTGTGTTTGAAGCAAGCTCGGGGATTGTAATCAAATGTTGTCTAACATACGGATTCGCCAAGTTCTATCAAAATAGCAAAATTAGTCTTATTGCTTTTTTATATTAAAGAAGTCATTCGCATTCACCAAGGTAATTCCTTCTTTGATTGGTAAGATGAAGCATGGATTACCTAGAACACTCTGAGTGTTGGTAACCGTCAAGCTCATGTCTTCTGTAAGTTTCTTTCGCAACCTTCGTAGTGTTTTCCAAGTTGGAAGATTAAAATCACAGATTGTGAAGATTTCTCTAAGCTTATCATATTGTGATCGTGAAACCACACTACGAGTAGACCCCATAATCAACATACCACACAAGTGCTTAAACACAAACAGTTGATGCATCAGCATCCGAAAATGTAAATTGAACAAGAGAAGATTGAGCTATTGAGTGGAAGAAGGGACTACATACCTCTTTCTTGTTGAACGGATACCATGCTTCAGATTCGTGTTCTCCATCTTTCATATCATCATCTTCTTCTTCTTCGTACTCAATCTCATTTTCCTGTTCTCCAAATCTTTGCTCATCATCCGCTAAACCATCATCGGAGTTTTCATCCTCTTCCCTTATCGCAAATTCGTAAGCAGCATCCCAGATTAGGTCTGGCCTGTCGTGAACAACAGGTTCCGCTTCAATCTGAGCATCAGCTGGGTTCTCAAAAAGAGCAGAGTCGTCTTGATTCCAGATGTTCGAGGTAGTGTGTTCAATTCCGGCTGTAGTCCATCATCGGGTGGATTTCCTACATCCTCGGCGACTTCGTTAGTCCATTCCATCCCTTGGACAGCGCCCGATCCCGATGCTGAACTAATGAGAGCAGGATTCGGACGTGTCATCGCATCCTTTTCAGCCAAATCTTCAGCAACCTTCCGTTGGTGATTGATACCTTTTGAATGTTCAATGTACGATTTGGTAGTCCTTCCACGACAGAGAGTACAGTAGTATTTCGGATGGGATGGCCTTGACGACCTTTGTTCAAAATCTGGCGATAATCCTTCAGCCTCTGAGCTTGCCTGACTAAAAAGAAAGCGAAAAGAAGACCTACAATCCGCCACAATTGGATAATCCTTCGGTGCAGACATCATGAAATGTCGATTCACTTCCTGGAAGGTGAGCGAGGAACTTGAACTTGTTTTGCCCCTCTGGATTTATCCTTGTCAAATCTTATTAGGGACTGGGCGAAGTTCGGACGAGCACAGGATTTTGCCACCTGAATTAGCGCAAGTATAGCAAGGAAGTTGTCCGAAGAGATTTAAACAGGAGGAACATATCACTGACCTTTCGCATGTCCAAGTGCCCCGTTCAAAATCTCATTGGGATGACAAAGCTGAGTCCGGGTTCATTCCCAAGGCCATATTCCCACAGACCCGATTGCTTGCTCAACTTCTATAGGATGTTCCAACGTCTATCTCGCAAGGGGTTCTTCATGAGGACCCCAACCCAAAGGTACAAACTTCCTTTTCGGGCTCCCCCGTGGGCACCACCACCGGAGAGCTCAGGGCCACAGCCTTATCTGTGAAAGGTATATCAGGCAATCCTGATGCGGTCAGCCTAAGGCTTTTGGCTGAGGAGTAGGAAGTTTTGGATTGGAGAGCCCATCAGATGATGGCAACCGGCTATGCGCCACCCTATTTTTTTTAGTCTCATGAAGTTGACTAATAAAAATAGGGAATTTTGATATTGATTCAACAGGGGCTGGATTGCTTGCGATAGTATTTCAACTACGGTTGAATTGGATTTTTGCAGCGCTTCGCCCAGTCCCTATTGTCGCTCTAACAGCTTTTTTTTGTCTGTACACTCAATCTTCTCACAACATGTCGAGACATTTCCTCACAACGGCGTTTCTCATGAACTCGATGGCCATCGAGTTCATGTTCTTGTGCGCCGGTCTGACGGCCAGCTTATGCAAACACTGGCCTTTAGACAGTCATGTCGACTGTCTCTTGTTCGCCAAAAGGCTGGTCGATCTCTCGCCAGATCGACCAGCCGATCAACCATCCATAATCTGGTCACTCAGCGGATTTCTGGCCGAAAACTCAGCTTTCGGCCAGATTCTGAAGGTTTTGTCCGACCGTCATAATCTGGCCGAAAGCTGAGTTTTCGGCCAGCGTTCGACCAGATCAACGCCTTGACCGATTTCCAGCTCCTTTTGCGGCGAAACGCTACCCCGTGGTGGGCAATGGTATCAAAAATCTGGATCTAGTTTTGTCCGTCACTTTGAATTTTCTGATCCAATGAGAATTTACGATGTTTTCTACTGTAGTTCTCGCCATCTTCTATGGTGATTTGATCTTTATGGGTTTGTTGTATTTCTTGATCTATCTTGTACCAGTCAAGTGAATTGCTTTTTGCAAACTTAACCCGTCCCTCTCCCTCGCAAACACTCGGGCTCGACTTTTTGCCTGTCCTTCGTTTGGACATGTTGATTCGGCTGTGCACCCGAGCCCCGCGCAGCCCGACTCGGATGATCCGACAAGTCTCTGCCTGAAACCTGGTGGGCTTCGCTGCTGGGGGGTTTCGGGATTCAGTTGAGAACCGGGAATGTGATTTCTGCACGATCATCAACAAAACTTGCATCTTCGCCTGATTCGAAGCAGACCTTTGGAAACCTCATCCAGCAGACTGACACCTTCAAAAAAGCGATCCTTCAGGCCCTAAAGTGAATTAGCAGTCAAGCTAGAGAATAGTTTCTTTGGGCTCTTGACCAAGTTTTGTAGATCCATTTATCGATCTCACGTCGCATGCCCTTGTGTCACTCGATTTATCTCAGGTCTGGGTCGGTCTCTTTTACTTCTCTTTCTGGCATCCAGCACATGCCTGACCTTGACAAATTCTAATTTTCTAGGCGGAAGTGTACCAAAGCTTTTGGTGCTCGAGGCTTGTCATGTTTACACTATGGCACATCATCACTCTTGGCCCCAGTTTCTCCCGTCATCTTGTCACTGGACCCGATGCAACCTACCCTGAGTGGTGTACAAGATTCTATTCCAAACAAAAATCGACTTGATATCGCCTCTGATAAGGTGGAAGATTGGACATCACCAAAATACGCCCACCTTCCTTTGCGGCCCGATTTTTCATTGTTCGAACCACTTGAACAAACTGATAATGTCGTAACGGAAGACGAAAACCTTCTGGATAATTCGATCTTGAATCACAATACCAACGTTGCATTATGTGAAAGATTGGTGTATCTGATCGAGACGGACTTGGTAGCAGCCAACGAGTTGAGATTACATATATCGAAGAATCACATAGACTTACCTGCCGATCAAAATGTCACTCAACATTGTTTCGGGCTTCTAATGCACTCGAAGGATGTTCATGGATACTTGGAATGGATCAACATCATACCAGGCTCCGAACTCCAGCAGTTGGTCTCAAGCGAACGGGATTCAATTTTTGATCAACATCTTAAGCAAATTCTGTCTCTTATTCCATCTAGCATGGCTACCGTTCGCCAATTCTTTGAAACGCTCATGGTCAAAGGATGTTTAACCAATCGGCTTATTCGGACAACTGTCAGTCACTTCGTCAGAACTCAATCGCCGCAAACTGTTCTCGAATTTTATTACGAGGCCGTGCGGAAGATATGCGATCAGTCTACCGATTCTAGCAACTCCGATCGTTTTCTAGGGTTATGCTCCAAATTATACAATCATACCATCTTGCAGTTAGCGAACCAAAGAAACCTGTCTGAAGCGATGAAGCTCGTGAACGAGTCTTGGGATCCAGAAGCCGATTCCTCACCTTTCCGTAAACGATTATCACCATCTACATACCGAGTTTTGGCAGATCAATTACTCTTACTTGTGGCTAATCAAGAACGAAGCAATATCTCAAATTGGAGTGATCATTTGGAACGCGTGCTCTCGAGTTGGAATCTGACCCATCCAATCGGGCTCGAAAGCTGGCTAACATCTTCAGAGAATCTGTCAAAATTACCTCATGGAACTGGTTTAACCCACAAAGTCTGCCGATCTCAGCCTCAATACCTAAATCAGACCACATCGTCAATGAGGGAAGGAACCAATAGGATACACGACTTGGGAGATACGACACATCGTCTAGTTTTGTACCTCAAGACAGTTCTGTCTCATGGGAATCACGTAAAGTTTGTCAAATCCTCTCACATTGCCAATGTAATCCAAAAAATGTTATCACTTGGAGGTTCGTTTGAAGAAGCATCAAAACGGTGCGGGTATTGTGAACTCCATGAAAACGAAGAGCAATACTTGAAGTCTTTAGTCTTTGATCATGCTAAACTTCAGTCGTTTTTAAACAAGGTACAGACCGCTGGTAAACGTTTGGAATTTGAAGATTCACTTTCATTACCCATGTCCGTAAAGTTTCAGTCAGACGTCATACTTTTATGGGCACATAGTTGGATGATTTATTATCAAAGAAGTAAACAATATTCTCGAGTCATTGATATTTTCTTGGAATACTTTATACCACTTGGAGTTGATCGTGAGATCCTTAATAGGAGCCAAGCTGAGGCAGGAAGCTCTTCAATTGATATGGGCATGCAAACCACACCTGTACCCCTTATACATCCAACTACTGGGGTTTTGACGGTTCTTTATGATTCAATTCTTCATACACGACCTACCAAATCTGCTTCATCAATCCTTGATTCATATCTCCGGCATATTCCACCGTCATCAACTTCAAACTCTTATCACAACGGTGTTACGACTTTGGAAAATCAAGAGAGCTCATCAACACAGATAGGATCCTCAATTGTGTCTAATCGATTGAAGCCAAACTTGGCGTCTTTTCAACCTTTTGTGCGAGCTTTTTTAAGAGTTGGAGATGTAGAAAAAGCTTTGAATCTTTTGATTGAGATGCAACGGTATGTTCGTGTTCCATCTCAAGATGTGAATTCAGAAGAAGGCCTATGGATAGACCTTTTAGAATGGTGTGCATCTCAAAGTGCTGGACCGATGACTGGATGTACCTCAAGAACTTATAAACAAAATTGGGGTATTCATAGAAAACGAAAGAAGTTAGGATGGAGTGGAGAGATGAAAGAAAGATTGGTGTATTCTGTATTAGAGCGATTGATTCAACAAGTACAAGAACATGAAAAACTAAGACCTGATTTTATTCAAGCTTCAACTTCAATTAATCCATCACAATTGATCCCGAAACTTTTTTTTCAACATTATGATTTCATTGAATTTTATCTTGATCAATTTGATTGGAATGAAAAATTAAAACATCAAAGTCTTCAAACTTCAACTTTTCTTAGTTTAAAACTTTTAAAAAGAATTCAAACTGGGTTTCAAGTTTGTGGTAATCGTAGAGGAATCAAAATTATAAATAGATTGATATCTTGGCGTTATGGGAAGTGAATCATTAAATCGATTGTGTGTGTTTGTGTGTTTGTGTGTTTGTTTGTATTTGTTTAATTTGGTTTGGTTTGATGAGTTGTTTCAAGTGCTGAAATTATCAAAGAAAAACAAATAGGAGACTTGAGGTCAAGTGATTCAATGATCTTTTTTGATCCTCATATCCTTTTTTTTGGCCATACTTGTACCATATAATTAAAAGGGAAAGTGATCAGGTGGTAATATTTCAAAATTCAACTTCTTGAAAATTTCATTTATTCTGGATAACTTATAGGTGGTCAAGAAATGAGAAGTGATTATTTAAAGATATCTTAATTCTGGAAATGTGAGGGATAAATTGAAAAACTATCTAGTGTAGAGATCTAATTTCCAAATTTGTTAGCCAAACCTCAATTTTATCACACCGAGCAAGTTGACTGATCTTTTGAAGGATCATTTTGTACAACCTTGAAAAAATCATAGATAGTTTGGTAGCATAGAAAAATCGAACTCATACAAGGCCGAACGTTCTTCGCTCCTATGCCTTGGTGATCTACCATGAATAGAGCTTGGTAGTGTAGATGTGATTAGATAGTCATGTGACATGATTATAGAAGAATCAAAGGGTTGATACGAAGAAGTCAGGGTGATTGAGAATAAGCCAAGAGCGTAAAATACCATGAAGTTTTCATATCATCAGTTAGGAATCAATTTCTTAAGTTCAGGTTGCGAATCTGATTTCAAAGTATGAGTCATATGCAACTAATCACATCACAGTTGGTTCTGACCGATGAGTTGAGGTATCTTTTTGTATCCAACATGTCTGATAGATAGATAGATATAGATTTAGTAAAAAGCGGTTGATTGAAGATCTAAAAATTGATGGATCTTTTGGATGTGTTTGTGCCCTTTTTGATTTCAGGGCTATGTGTGTAACACTACTACCCTTAAGCGTGATCACATGAAGATCACAAGACTTGGAAGTTAACAGGGGCTGTGCAAATAAAGATACATAAACCGCTTCAATCAGTCGATCAGATAATTAATTTAAAGGCTTTTGACTGCATTGGAATTTGGATTTTGACTTTAATTTCTTTCGCCGCTTCTCTTTCATTTTCATAAATCCAATTCTCACAATTTGATTTCCAACAGACAAGAACGCTTAAGATACTCGATTTGGATTTTTTTTTCTTTGAGATTATAGTTTACAGTCTTGGCAAACTTGGCATTTCTTGGCAATACCATTTCTCATACAACTTTGCATTTTCTGTTTTAGATCCAGATTTTACAAGATTTGAAACTTGAAAGATTGGCTATAGGTACGTCACCAATCTTGTATCATTCCGGATTTCTCCATCCATGATTACGTATGCAGATTGTATAAACGACACATCATCAATTGAATTTATGTAATAGAATTTAACCCCAAGTTTATAAATCATTCCAAGCTTTTAATTTTCTCACACTTTTATTTTTTTTGATTGATCAGCTGACTTCTTTCAACCGATTATTTATTTAAACCAGACTTTTATAAATCGAAGAACCATCACGTGGATATCATATCTGACCATCGTCCTTTATCTCGAGTCGTTCAACCAAGTTTCAGATATCCAAGCCTTTATTATCTTGAAAATCACCTTTACACACTGGTCAAAGTTTTCTTAATTCCTTCGTTACCAAATCATTTTATCAAGCCGGTAGGTAATCTTTAAGAAGAATAAGTCAAAGAAAATAACTAGCTAGCTTGGAGTTTCAACTAGTCTTTTGGTTGGAAAGAAAAAGGAATCTTGATTATCGAATTTTGTTTTAATTCATTTTGCCAAATCTTATATCATCAATCAATTACATCAGACTTTTCTGAATTTCAATACCAACAACTGCTTCAAACGGATTTACAAGATGTCTAACCTGGCAGAAATTTTAGGAGATGTGGTAAGTGATTATGCTTTGATGTTCTAAAATGTTCAAAATCCTGAAATCTCATTCTTTTCTAAACAATCACTCTTTGTTTTCTATTTCACAGGTGTTCCGTAGCCTTGATCCTACTTCTCTAGACGCATGTCCTTCTCCTTCAATGGGATCAGTCACTTCAGATTGTTTAAACGAATGGAGTTCAACGTCTTCCAAACAAACCAAATTACTCAGAAGTCAATCAGAACCTGTCTTAGGACCTATGGTGAACTTTACAGGTCCTATTAAGACTCATCAAAGACCTCAAATGCTTTGGACTAGATCTTCTTATGGATCTGATGAAGTGATTCAAGTGAATGATTCGGTTGAGGATGGTGGGGTTGAGAATCTTGAGGATGTGGAAGATGAAGAAGAAGAAGACGTTTCACCTGTTTCTTCTAATTATCCAACTCATGTCAGTATCTTTTTCTTTTGACTTGATGATGTCTTTCAAGATAGATATATATTTCATCTTACAATTATCTTGTTTCTTACACTTTACGTTTTTATTTAATCAAACAGGTCACTTGTTCCAACCCATTTATCCATCGAGTTCATCATCAAGAACACAATTTCTTATCATCATCTCTACCAGCTTCGATGTCTAGAACCACGACCACCGAACGAGCCACTCAAGAACTCTTACAATTAACTCAACCCTTAAGAGAAGGCGTGATGTCACGTGAAAGGCTCTTACCGGCTTCTCGTATGAAACAAGTAGGAGTAGGGGGTAGAGGTAAACGTCATGCTTCATTAGTGGGACAAACTTTACCGGTGATTTCGTTGGATAGTCCTGTAGAACCTGCTTTGGATTGGGCGGGTTCTGTCAAGACGATCACGCCTTCTACTTCTTTGATTGGGTTGAATCAGAATCTGACTTCCAATGGAGTACCTTTGGTGGCTCCTAGACCTATTAGGGGTTGGCAACGTGGGATTTCTTAAGTGAAAGACTTCCTGATGCCCTTTTTCTTTGTAGTTTTACTCTTCTTTTCTCTTTCTTCTGTTGATGTATTGTTACTCCTTTATCCCCACTCAGATTTTTTTACTTCTTCATCTTTTTTTTTCTTACTTTTTTTTCTGTTGAATGTTTATGTAGAATAATGATCTTTTGAATCTCTTTTTTTTTGATTTCTTTGAATCATTAACTCTCGTTTTTTTCTTTGATTTTCTTATTAATTTATATTTAAGAATTTCGTCAAAAAAAATAGAAGAAAAAACTTACTTCTTTTTTTTTCTTTCGTATTGAAGATTCTTTTTTACTTTTTTAAGAAATTTAATTTTTTAAAATGAGATATCATTAAACTCTTAATTTTTTGAAAGATCAACTTCTTTGTACACAGTTATTTTTTTTCTGCTCAGAGAGATATGATCTGTTTTTCTTTTCATTTTCGTTGAGTTATATTGTAAAATTAGTTTCTTTTTTTTGGATTGTGTTTTTTCATTGAGAAAAAGCAAATCTAAAGTGTATCATGTTTTTTTTTAAAATATTTATGAGTTGGTTTGATTAATTTTGTTTTTTTTTTTGATTTGCGTAAATGCAAAAGATCTCCATTCTAGTTAAAAATCGAAAACTGATTTGTTGAATGTTGAGTTGAATGTGATGAGTAAGAGATGAGTTGGATGAGATTGAAATTTGGATAAGCCTTCATGAGCATTCAGTTTGGGTTAGAGTTGGACTGATGATGTGTTTCGGAAAGTCAGATGGCGTTGAAGGTTGGAAGGGATTGTAAGCCAATGATGAGTCATGACTTTGACTGAGTATTAAGTAAGACTGAGGATGTACGAGCTGATCTCAAGATAGAGATGATGATGGCTGAAGAAACTAAAGTAAAGTAAACTAAACTGTTTAGCAATCAGTTAAGTTGAATTTAACGGTTAAAAACTACTGGTTCACTTGCCATTTTTGGGTTAAATTACTGATTATAAGTTAAAGTGGGTTGAGTTTAGTTTAAGGTTTGTTTGGTTAAGCCTCCCTTTGACCCAAATCGAATCAAATCCAATTCAACTTTCTTGATTTAAAACTCTTCTGAGTCATCCATCACCATCACTATCATCTTCAATCTCTTCACATTTCTTGATTTCAATCAATCGATCCTCTCTCTCATCTGTCAACTCTACTCGCTTTCGATTTGAATCATCATCAAATGGCACCTACTACCTTTCATACCTCTCACTCATCCGATTCAACTCTACTCAAGTCTCAAACTAAAAAACAAATCACTCGTCATCCAACTACTGTTCCTTTACCTCCTTCACCTCCTGCAACCGAAACATTAAACTTAGATGATGGTTTACCAGAACCGATTGAAATGAACTCAAGAACTCGTCGATCTAAAGACGCGTCAAACCAACCCATCACTAAACCCTATTCTCAACCTCGTAGAAATTCAAAACTTACTAATAAACGAACTCGTCAAGATGAATTAGATTCTCGGTCAATCGAACCAGCTAGTCCGATCTCTTCACCTCTTAATAGTCCTACCAATCGAAAATCTTTTCATCCTCATAAACGTACTAAGATTGAGAAACCTAAAACATCTAAAACGAGTTCAACCCCAGTGGATGAAGAATCGATTGTTGAATCATCTACTGGGTTTAGAGATAGTCCTAGGAATCCGTTCTTGGTAAAAGAAGGTGAATCGGTTCGTCAAGCTGGTCAATTTCATGATGAGAAATCACGTAAATTGGTTTATGTCTTGTAAGTCATCAAAAACCTCGATTTTTTTGTTATGAATCATTCTCGCTTACTCACTTTTATTCACTTGATTATATTTTCTTAGTCGTGGTAAACGAATCCAATATGATCCAGGAGAAGATCTACACAACACAGGAGATTCACCCTTTACCCTGTCAGCCCCTAAACTATTATTTCCCACAAGTTCTGTACCACCTTCACCACCACCTAAACTTGAATTCGAAACCGATCCAAGCGAATCACTCAAGTCTATGATTGATCCATTCCAAACACCTAAAAAGAATAAGAAACCTAATGATCATCATGAGGATGGATCGTCCAATGAAGTGACGGTGGGATTACCTACTCCTCAACAAACTCGTCAGAAACGTCTTTGTTATGATCTTTTGGGTGGTAGTAATCAAGTCGAAGTTAATGGATCTAAGGGAAAACAAACGATTTCAAAAGGAATGCGTTAAAGATGAAAACCGAAAAAAATGATCATCGTCACTTGAGAAATCGATTTCAATCAATCTCTTGGGTTTCTTTCTTCCTCTCTCTTTCTCATTTTTGATTGATTGATTGTTGTCTTTTTTTGGGGGAAGAAGGGTAGGGATCTTGATCGTTGTAATTCCCTTGAGGGTTCTTTTTCTTTTTTCCTTTGTTAGATTCTGTTTAATCATTTGTCTTTTAATGTTTTTCTTAACAACTCTTTTAAAATAACTCATACAAATCTTTTTTTTTCTTTCTTCTTGTTCTTGATGATTTAATTTCTTCTTCATGTTTTTCTTTTGATTGAGCTTGTGTTTTATTTCTTTAAAAAATTGTCTTTTTTTCTTTGGTATCTTATCTTTTTTTGGGGGGATGGGTTATGGGGTTTTTTTCTTTTTCAAAAGATGTCAAAAAAGTTTTACTTTGGTTTTGGTTTTTTTGATTGAATTTTGATTCAAAGAAACAAGAGAAACAAAAGAGAAGAAAGATTTTTGTAATTTTTTTTCTTTCTTTCTTGTTTTTCACTTCTTTTGTATTTTGGTTTATTGATGAATGGTTTTGATGATGGATTGATTGATTGATTATTTACATGAACGAAAAAAAATGTCAGAAGAAGAGGAAAGAATGGGGTTTTGATCTTATTTTATCTTTTGGTTTGGTGAAAGGTCTTGGTGATGGTTCTTTTTGGTGGTAATTATGGCAATGAGAAACAAGAAATGAGACCTGAGAGATGAATGAATCAATGGCAATGTCAAAAGTGGACATGATTATTGAAAACAACTGTAGTAGAGACTATGCAAGCACATCTGCATTAGGTTGGCTCAGGTCAAGATTTTCAAGGAGTTTCCCCTAAAAATCAGGCGAATGTTTTCATGGTACAGCTGTTTGCAGAAAAAATGACATCATCCAGTTTTTAATTTTTTTAATTTTTTTAAGTTGCACTAAAAATTACCAACACAGATTCTACACAAGAGCAGCTGTACGTCATGATGTGCTAATTTTAAACATTGTACAGAGTCTCCTCACCAAAGGTTGAGAAAGCTTGTGCATTTCAGATACAAATGTAGCATTACTTGTGATCTTTCACAAACTTCACACCCTCGAAAAAGTTGAGTACAGCTTACTACAGCTCTTATTGTAGAATCTACGTTGGTAACTTTTAGTGTAACTTAAAAAAATAAAAAAAATAAAAAACTGGACAATGACATTTTTTCTGCAAACAGCTGTACTGTGCTGTAAAAAGATTTCTAATTTTGTAAAATAAGATTGATCAGCATTAACGGTACTCAAAGTAACTAGGCAGTTTCTGACTGTACTTTGAAACCTAGAACCTACTTTTTTCTTTTGGCGGGGATTTTTTTTAAAGTATGTTTTTGCCAACCGGGCAGCTTTGAGGACCACATGCCTGCTTTTACCATATCTTTATAAATATAGCCTCTGTCACATAACATTGGCCAGCATCAACCTCCTGAAAGAACTGGCCATAGATCTAGTCCAAGCCTCCGGAAAGGTCTTATCTACCATAGCAAGCCATCCATCAACATGCTTTGAAGATTGGTATGGTGATTGGTCAAGTCCTTGAAGACCTTACTCACCTCTGATATGTTGAATCTTTTGAAATGATCGATTGATTCAACTCTCTCTTAAAAGAGGGTTGACCCAATCACTCTCCACTCATGCTTCTATTCAATTATATTTAAGTCTCATTTCAGAGATTCACAAAAATAGACCAAGAAATACACGAAAACAATAAGACTCTTTGAACGATCAATCGATTTAAAAAACAACCAATTGTCACACTTCTCACCAGTTTAGAAGATAACACACACTGATCACTCTCAAATAGATGATTTGTTCACATATAAGCATCATAGTATTCATTTCAAAGACAAACTAAAAGGAAAATAAAAAACATGACCTTTGGTATCAAAATTGAGAGGATTAAGAGTGAAAAATTGTTTTTATTGGTTTTTATTTGTTGTAAATGAGATAGAAGAGTAATTTTATGATGAGCGTGAGATTGTGTGTGTGGTGACAGTTGCGGCTGAACAACTGAGAAAAATCAAAGTAGGCACCCGGGGGCCGGCACAACCTAACTTAACACAAGTCCAAATCTACCGCAGGGCTCTCTTAACCTTGCAAGCTCAGTGCCCTGGGTAGGGACTTGCGACTAATCACATACTTTTGGTGGTCAAGCAGGAACCAGAAACCCCCGTCCAGCTTTACAGCTGCCTATCTTTTGTAGTTTGGATGCTACAGATTTTCTGAGGAGACCAAAATCTACTGGAGAATGAAATGTACATCTTTCATGTTTGACCACAGCTGCTGGATCGAATGGCAGTCCTCTTGCATTGAAAGAGGATTGTGTTTGATTATAAATTTTGTTTTGAAAATACAATCACTGCCACCAACAAAATTTCAAATTCCAAAAACATCTGTTCTTTTTTGTGGATGCTCAGAAAAAGTTAAAGGAATTCTGAATAGACAGATGTGTTGGGAATTTCTTGAAGTATCTCCAGTTAAAAATCAAACAGGGGTTGATTGAGTGGAAGTGGGACTTTTTGAGGTGGTGAAAAAGTCTCCACACCAAACTCAAATTTCAGCAGTCCTGCTCGACCACCAGGGAAGCCCGATTAGTCCTAAGTCCCTCACCAGACCCGGTGAGGAAGAAGTGTCTGACTGTGGGACTTATTTAAGTTAGCGGCACAACAGTACAAGAGTGCTCACCTACTTTTTCCGGTTGGTGCCTACTTTTTGAAATTAGGTTTCCCAACTACAGGTCCAACTAGGTAGATCTCACCTAGTTACTTTGAGTACCGTTATTGGACAGCTTCTTGTGAAGCCATTGATTCATAATCTGTTCTCTTTTGTGGTTGTTTGCTACTTAATTTAGGGTACTCAAAGCAGGTACATATGTGCTTGTACATACTTTTTGCTACATACATTTTTTTTGTGAGGAAAAGAAGGCCACAAGGATTTTTGGTTGTTTTTCCCACAAAAAAAAGTATGTAGCTGAGTACTTTAAGAGCATCCACTGTCATGAAGGTCATTGATTGTAGATTTAATGGTTTCTTGTGAAGCCATTGATTCATAATCTGTTTTCTTTTGTGGTTGTTAGCTACTTAATTTAGGGTACTCACAGCCAAGTATGTGCTTGTACATACTTTTTGCTACATACTTTTTTTGGTGAGGAAAAGAAGGCCAAAGGTCTATTTGGTTGTTTTTCCTACCAAAAAAATAAGTACAGTCGTTTTAAAATCGCTTGTCAAATTTCAATTTTTGAGCTCGAGGATCAGCCACAGCGGTTGGCCAAATCGAGTGGTTGATTTTTTTTTTTTTTTTTAAGCTTTTCATTATGGAGAACCAAGAGAGGTCGAGACTTGTACCCCGAGTTATATCTGTGGACGAGTCACACGGGGTTCAGGGTACGAGTCTTTGGGGCTGCTGAGCTGCCTCACCGATCAGAATCCTCATCTCAGCTCCGATCTCACCACCACCACATCGATCTGACCACCAATACTCACCACTGATTACATCTAACAGCTCAGATGGACGAGATGGATGGTATCGTAAGTCATTGTGTACCATCAACATATTCTACATGTGATTTGGACTGATCATACATACGCTTTGACGCTTTAGAACGACAACGACGAGGTTGTGCTTTTTGAATGTAATGCTGATCAGTTCCAGGTCTTCTGTAAGAAAGGAACCACTGCAAAGTTCACCTGGAAAGGGTTTTCAAACAAACATCCCATCCTGGTCGAAGTGATCCCAACTGTAACGACATATGAAGTATTCAAAACCAATATAATCAAAGCTTGCGATCAAGAACGGGCAGGCATAGGTGCAATGATCTTGGCTGACAGTCTTGCTCCGACCCATCCTCTTGGAATCAAGTGGACATGCTGGATTGCAACATTGCCTACCTATCTCAAGAATAAGTTTCATCCTCTCAACGATCAAGCTGATTTTGATACATGGGTCAAGAAGGTTTGCGATTTCCCTGGTAAAAAAGCTGGTGTATGTATGAAGATGGAGAAACCAATAAGTGAGGCTGAACGCGCCCAAGAAGTGAGTTTAGTTTTTCTTTTTTTTTCTCAAACATTTTTTGACTGACATTCATTCTCAATTCAAGGATAATATGCTAGACCGAGCAGTCCGAGGGATACCAGGTGCAGATGGTCAACTTCTAGACAGGCAACTTGGCGATGACGACAACGCAGGTGAAGAAGACATCACCATTGCGAAGATTACATCGATGGGTAAACCTAGAGATATTTGATAGCCCATTCTCAGAAAGGGAAGAGGCTAGAGATGCGGGAGTTGTTTCAAATAGGGCTTTTAAAGGTTTTAGATGCTAAAACACTAGACGACCCCGGAGGGCCTGAGCGGATTGCAGTGAGAGAAAAAGCCAGAGACCCTAGGGGCGGTCTAACACTACCAGTACAATAAGAATAAAAGATAACCCTGGGAGGGATGGTGGGAAGACAAAAAACACGCTAAAAACCTAAGAATAATAAGAGAATCTTTGTTGATAATAGAATGGATGAGGATACAAAAGTATGAATGTTAACTTGATAGAAGAAGAGCGCGAGAGCTGAAAACCAATTTCTAACAAATGTTAACCAAAATCAAGATCTTGAAAACCGTACAGAAGTGCTCATTACCAACACGTCATAGGAGCTTAAGGTAACATCGGAGGATTGCTTGAAAAAAATGAAGTTTGTGTTTGAAGGTGACTAAAAATTACGGAGCTGTGAGTAGTTTACCAATTGTTGTGGGTTGTGATTCCATCACATAGTAAAGAGTGTCTCATGCACTTTATTAGCCGTAATGTATCTTTCCAGTTTTGTGTTAGAGAACACTACATGTGATTCTCTTCCAAGAAGCCTCTGTGCTCCCAGGTGTGTCTTACCACAATAGAATCCTGTCCTTAAGTATTTGAGGACCAGCAATACCATCTGTGTGGTCTGGGGAGGGTCCCAGTAGTAAACTAATCAGGGATTTGGTTACCAACCATTTCCCAAATCTTACTACTGGGACGAGAACAGTGCCTGAAGTAGGTGTGGACTTCTCAACCCCCGGGATGGAAGGTGAGTTTAAAGAATTTATCAAATTTAGACATTACAAAAGATGGAAATGACTTGCAATGTCTTTATAGCAAAGACTATTGAGAAGTGACGTTGTGGAGAGATGAGTGTAAAAACTCTCATTGTCTCTCTGGTTCACTTCCCTGTACTCAAAACTATGTGTGACATGTCTGTCAGGCATGTCACTAAGCTTGTGTGACTTTTAAGTCCCACCTCTTTAGGCTTATAAATACTCATTCCTTTGTAGTTGGAACACATTTTAACATAGGGGAATAGGTGTAAGGAGTGGTCAAGTTGTGAAAGAAGGAAATGGCTAATAAAGGTTTCTCTTGTTTCTTAAGCTCCTATGACGTGACGGTAATGAGCACTTCTGTACGGTTTTCAAGATCTTGATTTTGGTTAACATTTGTTAGAAATTGGTTTTCAGCTCTTGCGCTCTTCTTCTATCAAGTTACCATTCATACTTTTGTATCCTCCATTCTATTATCAACAAAGATTCTCTTATTATTCTTAGGTTTTTAGCGTGTTTTTTGTCTAAAATCATGAGCGATGCTATTAACAACAACTCAGCTCACTTTGAGAAAATCAATCAGATGTTACTTGACTACGATAGAGCTGGAGGCAGTAAACATTACTCCATGCGTGACCTTTGTTCCGTCGTCGCACGCGTTTTCTCTGCTTCTGACCCAAACTTCATCTATCACTTCTCTAAGATCACTAGAATTGTGATTGGTTTGGATAGCGCGGCAGGACGCCTTGCTTACCACATTGGTGGTGCCCCCCCCCACCGGGAGAAACCCTCTTGTGTATACCAGTTGTTTTGGATGCATCTTACCAACTCCCGTCCAACGACATCAATCTTTACCAGATGCCGCCTGATCTGTTCGATTCTGACTACAGAAATGATGTCGGAATGCCTCCAGCTGCTCCCCTTGCTTCCGGTAGCAGACAGGCCAGGTCTTATTTGCAGCGTTCTCACTCAGCGGCCCGAAAATCTAGATCGCCTATTCCCTTGGCAGATAGGATCGGTCCCAGAACGTCAAAAAGCCCTAAAAGTTTCTTTAGAAGCACACCACGTTGTCTTTTTTGGTCAAGTCCCAACAGAGTTGGGCGTTCTCGGGGCTGTTTGAATAAACAGCTTCCAAAGCCTCATCAGGCAAAAGGAAAGCAACAAGCCTTCCAGGCCTGTGCAGAGCCTCCTAGAAGGGCATCACCTCCCAGACCAGGTCCAAAATCCAAAGGGAAAGAAAGGTGTATTTCCAACACACCCCCACCTTCTTCCCGTTACTCTTCCGATAACGCAGAGGAAGACATTGTTTTCTTCCCAGTCCCTGGAGCCAAAAAGCCAAGATTGTTTGCTGCTCCTATTGCAGAGTTGGTGGATCCTTCTGCGTCTCCATTGGCAAAATCTATCCAAAGACTTGTTACAATTTATAAAGCTGATATCAACCATTACATCAATCAATACAACTGCTCCCCCAACAAACCAGCTAGTTGGCCTTCATATCTCACCAAAGACCTTCTCGAGTATCAATGCATTGATTTGAAGAAGTTATGGGGGGAAATGGAATCAAAGCCTTCTTCTGAAATTTTCTTTTTCAATAAGAAATCCAAGAAGAAGGATGTCAAAGGGGTCACAGACCCTCTTTCTATTCAAGACCTCTCTGAGTTTAGTCAGGTCATGGAGGTTCTCAGGCACGCATACTTGGCTGCTTTCTATTTTGCAGCTTTGTCAATCAAATCTTACTTTGATCATATTGCGAAATTATGTTGCCACCAATCCCGGATCCATTGGACTCATGTCAGAAATTATGAGGCAGAAATTCATCAAGCTTTTTTGCAAAGACCTTCATTGGCATGGGGCAACTTTGGCGCTCCGGAGCTTAGGGTTTTTGAAGGCCAAAATCTCAATTCTCGTTCTGTCGATAGACCTGTGTCACCGGAAGTTCCTCCTCAAGCTATTCAATCCTCTTCTCGCGTTTGACAACCAAGGGCTTCTTCTTCAAAGAAAGCACCTTATTCCTCATCTGTTAAGAAAGCTGCTCCTAAAAAGACTAAGAGGAGTTTTCCTCCTTATAAGATTAAGGAAAGTGATGATGTGGCTGTTGAAGATCAGTCTTGCAATAATTGGAATGCAAATGTCTGTCCCCTCTCAGCCAACGACTGCAAGTACGCGCATGACGTATGCAACAAGTTGGGATGCTTTGGCAATCATGAAGGAGGCATTGCTCACCAACAAGCCTAATTCTCGGAAGTTTGTAAGAAATATGGAAACTGATGAATTATGGGATGGTTTCTCTGGATCTGTTGATTTCTCTTTATCTGCGGAACCTCTTCCTTCAGCTCCGCCTCTCAATTCTGATGTATATGCTTCTAGAGCAATCCGTTGCTGCCCTGACATCTTCAAAATTTTCACGCCAATCAATGTACCTCGTCTTTCACTTCTACTCAAGAATCACCCCAACAGACCTTTTGTCAATTCAGCAATCCTAGGTCTGACAGAGGGTTTTTGGCCAATCTCTGAAAAACCTTCCGACGAAGCTGCTTTTTAACCCAACCACGCCTCCGGCGAAGAGGAAGAGGCTTCTCTTGTCCTCACTAGAGATCAAGAGATGGATCTTGGTCACTATTCCCCTGGTTTCCAAAGTCTTCTTCTGGGGATGAAAGTCTTGCCGCTGTGCTTAGCTACTAATCAGGTTTTTGGAAAAGTTCAAACTTGTACCAATATGAGTTACGGTCATCCTTCCCCAAATAGTCTCATCGAACGCGCCCACATCCAAATCAAACTCAACAGTATTGCTTCTTTTACCCCCTTCCTCATCAAAAGACATTCCATGCAGCTTACGTCCATCTTGTGGAAATCTGACGTCGATTCAGCTTTCAGGATTCTTCCAGTTTCCCAACAGTGGCAATACAGGCAAATCGTCAGGATCACAAATGTGTTTCACGCAGATTGTTGCGTGAGCTTTGGATGTGCTAGCTCCCCGAAGTTATGGTGCTCTTTTTTCTCGTTAATTCTATGGATTGCTTTTCATGAATTCGGTATCAAGGAGCTAAATGCTTATATGGACGACTTGTGGGGTGTAGGTTCAGCTTTTGATTTAGTTCAATTTAAAGGTCACATTGTACCTTTGAATCAGGCCAAATTTCTTGAGCTTTTTGACTATATCAATATTCCTTGGGCCTGGGGCAAGCAAGTTTGGGGTACTGAGTTGGATATCATTGGACATTCTATTAACTGTGATACCCTCTCTATCTCTCTTCCTTCAGACAAACGCCTTGCACTCATCGACGCCCTTCAAACCTTCATAATCCCCTCATCTCAACCTCTTGTGGCTTGGCAACGCATCACAGGATGGGCCAATTGGGCTGTTAATATGTTCCCCTTAGGCATGTGGGCTATTCAGTCTTCTTGGGAAAAGATAGCCAGAAAATCTCTTTGTAACGCTTTAGTCCCTTGCAATAAGGCTGTCACAGAGGATCTCACTTGGCTAGCCGGCTTGCTGAAGGCCTGGTCAGGCCGGAAAATCCTCAAGAACATCTTTTGGAACCTTCAACTGGCTGACATGACCTTCATAGTTGACGTGTGCCCTACGGGCATCGGCCTTTGCTGTCCTAAGCTCAATTCAGCTTGGAGCGAGAAATTTCCGCCTCCTTCTCGCGATAACTTCCGGGCTGAGTTGTTGGCGGTTGTAACAGCTATTGACATTGCCTCGCCAAGCGCATTGTGATTTTCTCACACAACCAATTGGTGGTTGCTTTGTTTAGTTCTCACAAACCAATTGGCTCCGCTTGACTCTTATTCAGGCCCGCGGTCTCTGTCATGCTCAAACAAAATCTTGATGTCAAAGTGAGACACGTGGCAGGCAATGACAACACCATTGCCAATGACCTTTCTCGCAACCGGATTTCAGAAGTTAAAGGTTACATCCCTGCAATTAATCACTTCTTCCTTCCTGACACTGAACCTTCTTTTGATGGTGGCATCAAACCTCACTATAACTCCTCCTGACAAGATGCCAGTGATTCGACGCTCAACGACAGTAGCCAAGCAGACGCCTCTCTCTTTCTTTGAAAGAGAGGCTCTCAATCAGTTCCACATTTCTAAACACCTTGAGCCTTCAACCATCCTCAAGTATAAATCTGCCACTCGACACTTTCTAAAATTTTGTCAAGATCATACTTTGGAACCCGTCCCTTTGGAATTCAATCTTGCTCACTTTGTTTTGGTGACTTGTTTAGATTTATCACCGGGCACCGCCAACAAGTACCTCACCGGCATTGTTTTTTGTCTCCGAGACCAATTTCCCTTTGTCGTTGCTGCTTGTGCCTCCCAACACGTCCAACTTTCGGTTCGTGGCTGCCAAAAGCTTTTGTCCGTTCCAGTTGTTTGCACTAAACCTTTCACCTTACTCAATGTACATCTTTGCGCCAAAACTTTCTTGTCCTCCTTCAACAATCAACTCTTCAATACCATTATCGCCCTTGGATTTTCAGGCCTCCACCGCCTCGGTGAGTTAACCAATAGCAATTGCGTTGCTCTTTTAAATTTCCGACAAACCATCAAAAGATCTTCTCTTTTGATCTCCAGCTGTGAAACAGCCGCAACTTACACCTTGCCTTACCACAAAGCCCACAAGCTGTATCTCAGTTCCTCCATCGTCAGCCTTAATAGGACTGATGATCCAACTCGTCCTATCAAGACTATCATCTCCTATACTCTCAACAGAGATCGCCGGTTTTGTAGCTCTCCCTTCTGGCTCTTGCGTGCCAATGGCTTGGTCCCTAAGCGTACTTGGTTCATGACTAGGCTTAATTCTATCTTCAAAGGGTCTTGTACCGGCCATTCTCTGGGTACTGGTGGTGCCACTGCCCTTGCTCAGGCCGGGATGCCTATGGAAACGATTCAGTGTATCAGGAGGTGGTCTTCTGAAGCTTACCAAACATACATTTGCAATCACCCCCTCATGAATTTATTTGCCTCTTGTCAAAACCCAATCACTTCTGGCAACACAGCCACAGTTACTTTACTATTTTCAGTAAAGTAACAGTATCGTAACTTATTTTGAGTATAGTAACTGCGATACTTGGTATCGGTTTGGGCGATACAGTACTCACACGGCCACGGAACAGTATCGTGCTTATCGATACGGTATTGGGTAAAGTACCGGGAGACCCAATACTTTACTGAAAACTCCGACCGGCAGTATCGAGTAACTGTCAGTATTTTGACAGTATCGATTGATATCAAAGCGGACATTGACATTGATATCCTCATGGCCAAACATCAATTTCACACGCCGACCGGACCTTATCAACATGAACATGATCTTCATTACGATTCAACACATCCACTTATCCCTCCAACACTATCCCAGCTTCTTTTCCCAGGATTTCTCATTCAAGTTCATCACGAGTTCACCAATGCCATGATCACTTGGCCCTCTTTCTTAGCTCCTTACGTAGGTCAGATGACAGATATGGCATCTGACACAACAAACGATGAGGTATGTTCCCTCTTATCAAGGCAAGAACTAAGATTACAAACGTGAAGGTCCCCTTTTCACTCGATTTCTATCTCTTCTTCCCTTTTTTGGTTTTTACTCTTTCTATCTCTATTTCATCGTTCAAAGTGTCTTTCGGTCAATATGTCGCCAATTTCCCGTCAAATCAGTTCATCTCGTGTTCCAGCTTCATCTCCTTCACGTTTATCCCCATCGGTTGCTCCACGTCGAAGCACTCAAACTACACCTGTCCGTCTTCCATCTTGGTCAATGGTTGTGATTCCCTCAGACTCTCGTAAATCGGTCCAGTCCCATAGCGAGAATCCGATGGCGTCTGAGTCTGAACAGTCAGTTCTTCAAGTTGATAGACTCACCAAGAAAGGCAAACACAAACGTGTTCGCAACGACTCCGAGACTGAATACGAAGAGCAGCCAGAATCAGATGCCTCAGCCTCAGGCT